TTTCTTTTTCTTTTTCTTTTTCTTTTTCTTTTTCTTTTCTGAGACAGGGTCTCACTATGTAGCCCTTGATTGTCCTGGAACTCTATCTGTAGACCAGGCTGGCCTCCAATACAAAGATCCTCCTGCCTCTGCTTCCAGAGTGCTGGGATTAAAGAGTGCACCACCACAGCCCAGCTGACCCCTTTCTTAACTCAAGTTCGCCTGTTGTTGGTCCATGCCCTTTCCTCTCTTCGTTCCTTCCTACTCTGAACTCCATCAAGGCCACCTCATGTGACCTACCTTATGTGGGACCTCCTAGAACTAAGGCTCAGCATTGTGGACTATGGCAGACTACAGCAAGCAGGGTTCCTGGAAATGGATAATACACTACACCTACAGCCGGGTGTCCCAGAGGAGGATCAGGAGATTCAGAGAGCCATCCTGGTGGCCTTGCTAGGTGCCCCTGAGCAGGCTTTTGGCCAGAATGAGGGACAGCTTTCTGTGTGCAGCCTGCAGTTTTCTGAGGGCCTGGTGGTTTGAGTTACTTGACTTGCTGTTGCTGGCTCCATCTTCCTGAGACTCTTCCTGAACCCCAGAGCCACCTGGCTCTTGTCTCATGGCAAATGCTGACCCATTGTGGCTCCTGGAATGTCTAGGTCCTGGGGCACTGATGACTACTATCAATGCAGTCTGTCAAATGGAGACAGAAGATACAGTCGTAGGTGAGGAAATGAGATGGTGAAGATAAGGCCCTCACCTCAGTTAAGAGGCTGGCCTCACACTGTTGGTCTCCTGCCCCCAACTGCCTGCCATACAAACAGTATGGCTGTTGTGTTCTGGACTAAGTGTCCAGGAAGATGTCCACTGAGGATCTAGGGAGAAGGATGGTCAGGCTGGATGGGCAATACTATCCTCCCAGGTCATCAGGGACCCCTGCAGGCTAGAAGTCCCCACAACTCTAGAACAAACAAACAAACAGACAGACTGATGGACAGCCAGGGTCTGAGCCTGTTGACTTAGCTGCCCACTAGCGGAAAGAGCCAGCCACATGGGGAGTTCGCTGTCCATCTTCTAGACATGAGTCCCTTACCCCAGGTACTGTCAAGCAGAGGTGTGGTACAGGATCTCTGAGGGCTGAGGTTCAGGCTAGGGGGGTGGCAGGAGGTGGCCTGTGGAGCAGGCAGCTGAAGAAAACAGCCTCTTTCCCCTTCCCTCTTTGGGCACAGCAGGAGGTACCACATTGTCCAAAGAAGGAGCCAGATAGCTCTAAGGAGGTGTGGGGATTCAGGGTGAGCGGCCAGAAGGCCTTGCCAAAAATCTTGCAAGATTCCTCTTGTCTGTAGGGCAACCCAACAATACACATACTGCCACACACACAGGAGCACTTATTTGAACACGAATACATATATGGGGATGAATGCTTGCACATGTGAGCATACCATAATGTATACCACCATTGGGATAACAGTCTTCATGCACAGAACTGGACAGGAACACATGAGTACAGGTACATACACACATTCATACTGTACATGCAGACACTTGCCCAGCGTGCACACATACAGATTGGGTCACACATGCAGGCTTACCACCCACATAGGTTGCTGTAACTGGTCTTCACTGGTGTTGACACACATTTTGGAAATTTAAGTGGACTTTTGATTGACAAGGTCCTTGTAGAACCCACTGCTGTTCAGTAAAGGAAGAATTAACTATATTAGTTCATTCATATCTGCTGTTTGCTAAACATAACACAGTCAGGTGATGGGCTGTGGGGAAAGGGCCTATTGTCCAGGTCAGTGTCCTGAACACTACGTACTAGAAGAATATCCCAGGGGAACATATCAGTAAAAATGACCCTTTTGAATGAATCTACCTGGAAGGCACTGTGCATACTAAGCTGCTAGTCTTGGGTCTGGTGTGTTGGTAAATAAGTCAGTTCTGAAGGCCTAGGATGCTGGTGATCATTCCAGATGTTGTTTTTCTTATAGATACATAAAGTAAGATAAACATACAGAGAATATTTTTTAATAGATTTAGTTTATTTACACACATGAATATGTGTCTTTGTGTTGGGCATATGTACAGTACCTGTGCAAGTCAGAAGGGTGGGTCAAGTCTCCTGCAGCAGCTGTACTTACAGGCTGTAGTGAGCCACCATGTGGTTTCTAGGATTTGAACTCAGGCTCTCTGCAAGAGCAGCAAGTCTTCTTAAACACTGAGCATCTTCCTAGCCCCCCAAAGAGAACACTTTGGTTTTGTTTGAGGCAGGGGCTCACTGTGAAGCCATGGTGACCTTGACCTCTCATACCTGCCTCCACCTGAGTGCTGGAACTATAGGTCTGTTCCACGTGCCCAGGAAAACTTGGATCTGTGTGTGTGTGTGAAGTGGGCAGTAAATGCATATCCTCACACTCATTGCAACAACCGAGCTGAACTGCTTAGAGAAATTCTTTAATTTGTGGTGAAGCTTTTTCTCATAAGAACGTTTCTTGCCTCTCTCTGTCCTCTCTGCCCTTTGTTGTGCCTCCAGGGCTCTGACTTCCCCACTGGCCTGGGCTTTGGCTAGAAATTTAGTCTGATGTTTCTCAGGAAGCTCCCATTAGCTTGGAGATTAAGCTGTCCAGCCTGTCACAGGCACAGGGACGCTGCTGTCACACAGCAGGGAGGATAAAAGAGCAGAGGAGTCTGAAGGGCAAGATGCAGGGAGTCCCTGTGTAACAGGCCCTCGGGAAGCCCAGCCACCATGGACTGACAGGAGCAGAGGCTTGGCTACAGCGTGAGAGATATGGAGACTCCCTGGTGGGGGACAAGTGTGCTGGCCAGGTCCTGCCAGCCCTGCTAGTGCCACCCCATACAGATGTGGGAAAGGCGTGGAGTGCTGTCCTGAAGGGAAGGAGGGCTCCTTGTGACAGTGGCCATATCATCTTGTCCTTTTAGAGCAGAGGAGTCAGGAGAGTGACATGGCACTACTTTCCACGGTAGGTACTGTGCTGGGCCCCTGGCCTCTCTCTGTGTTGTCACCTGGAAACAATGGGAAGAATGCTGGAAACCCTGGAAAAAGAACAGAATGAGTTCATGCTGCCTTCAGTCACCTCCTCTGCTGATGTCACCACCGTTCAGCTCCCTCGGGCCTTCC